AATGCAGTGGTTGACAGAGTCGAAAGCCTTGGCCAGGTCGATGAAGACGGCTGCACAGTACTGTCTATTATCGATCGCGGTTATAATATCGTTTAGGACCTTGAGCGTGGCTGAGGTGCACCCATGACCAGCTCGGAAACCGGATTGCATAGCGGAGAAGGTACGGTGGGATTCGAAATGGTCGGTGATCTGTTTGTTAACTTGGCTTTCAAAAACTTTTGAAAGGCAGGGCAGGATGGATATAGGTCTGTAACAGTTTGGATGTAGAGTGTCACCCCCTTTGAAGAGGGGGATGACCGCGGCAGCTTTCCAATCTCTGGGGATCTCAGATGTTGCGAAATAGAGGTTGAACAGGCTAGTAATAGGGGTTGCGACAATTTCGGCTGCTATTTTTAGAAAGAAAGGGTCCAGATTGTCCAGCCCAGATGATTTGTAGGTGTCCAGATTTTGCAGCTCTTTCAGAACATCAGCTGTCCGAATTTGTGTGAAAGAGCGGTGGGGGGGGGGGGGGGGGGGGGGGGCATGGGCAAGTTGCAGCGGAGGATGCAGAGCTGGTGGCCGGGGTAGTAGTAGCCAGATGGAAAGCATGGCCAGCCGTAGCAAAAAATGCTTTTGAAATTCTCGATTATTGTAGATTTATTGGTGGTGATAGTGTTTCCTAGCCTCAGTGCAGTGGGCAGCTGGGAGGAGGTGCTCTTATTCTCCATGGACTTTACAGTGTCCCAAAACCTTTTGGAGTTAGTGCTACAGGATGCACATTTCTGTTTGAAAAAGATAGCCTTTGCTTTCCTAACTGCTTGTGTATATTGGTTCCTAACTTCCCTGAAAAGTTGCATATTGCGGGGTCTATTCGATGCTAATGCAGTACGCCACAGGATGTCTTTGTGCTGGTCAAGGGCAGTCAAGTCTGAGGAGAACCAGGGGCTATATCTGTTCTTAGTTCTGAATTTTTTGAATGGGGCATGCTTATTTAAGATTGAGAGGAAAGCACTTTTAAAGAACAACCAGGCATCCTCTACTGACGGAATGAGATCGATATCCATCCAGGATACCTGGGCCAGGTCAATTACGAAGGCCTGCTCGCTAAAGTGTTTTAGGGAGCGTTTGACAGTGATGAGGGGTGGTCGTTTGACCGCAGACCCGTTACGGACGCAGGCAATAAGGCTGTGATCGCTGAGATCCTGGTTGAAGACAGCGGAGGTGTATTTAGAGGGTAAGTTAGTCAGGATGATATCTATGAGGGTGCCCATGTTTACGGATTTAGGGTTGTACCTGGTAGGTTCCTTGATAATTTGTGTGAGATTGAGGGCATCTAGTTTGGATTGTAGGATGGCCGGGGTGTTAAGCATATCCCAGTTTAGGTCACCAAGCAGTACGAACTCTGAGGATAGATAGGGGGCAATCAATTCACATATGGTGTCCAGGGCACAGCTGGGGGCTGAGGGGGGTCTGTAGCAAGCGGCAACAGTGAGAGACTTATTTCTGGAAAGGTGGATTTTCAGAAGTAGGAGCTCAAACTGTTTGGACACAGACCTGGATAGTATGATAGAGCTCTGCATCTCTACAGTAGATTGCAACTCCACCCCCTTTGGCAGTTCTATCGAGACGGAAAATGTTGTAGTTGGGCATGGAGATTTCTGAATTTTTGGTGGCCTTCCTAAGCCAGGATTCAGACACTGCTAGTATGTTGACAATAATAATATATGTTTGTAAATTTACCATTAAAAAGTACCGTAGTGATTGGGTGTCCATTTAGCTGTACCATGATATTTGCATTGCTACTTAGTAACCTTCCAATTGTTTTCCACTATTCCACCCACTAAAGCCCCTCCCCATCCCAAGTTGGGTTGTCATCCCAATGACCGGCAGACTACCCATTTTTTACACCCCTGTCCCCCCGGATACCTAGGCCTCCCGGGAGGCCAGGACCCATCCTTCGAAAACAGTGCCATGCACAGAACAGAAGCAGATCAAGCTCTAAAAGTATTTCCAATGCTCTCACCTCAATTTGCTTTGTATATATAGTGAGGGAAAAAAGTATTTGATCCCCTGCTGATGTTGTACGTTTGCCCACTGACAAAGAAATGATCAGTCTATCATTTTAATGGTAGGTTTATTTGAACAGTGAGAGACAGAATAACAAACAAAAAATCCTGAAAAATGCATGTAAACATTTTTATAAATTGATTTGCATTTTAATGAGGGAAATAAGTATTTGACCCCTCTGCAAAACATGACTTAGTACTTAGTGGCAAAACCCTTGTTGGAAATCACAGAGGTCAGACGTTTCTTGTAGTTGGCCACCAGGTTTGCACACATCTCAGGAGGGATTTTGTCCCACTCCTCTTTGCAGATCTTCTCCAAGTCATTAAGGTTTCGAGGCTGACGTTTGGCAACTCGAACCTTCAGCTCCCTCCACAGATTTTCTACTGGCTAGGCCACTCCAGGACCTTAATGTGCTTCTTCTTGAGCCACTACTTTGTTGCCTTGGCCGTGTGTTTTGGGTCATTGTCATGCTGGAATACCCATCCACGACCCATTTTCAATGCCCTGGCTGAGGGAAGGAGGTTCTCACCCAAGATTTGACGGTACATGGCCCCGTCCATCGTCCCTTTGATGCGGTGAAGTTGTCCTGTCCCCTTAGCAGAAAAACACCCCCAAAGCATAATGTTTCCACCTCCATGTTTGACGGTGGGGATGGTGTTCTTGGGGTCATAGGCAGCATTCCTCCTCCTCCAAACATGGCGAGTTGAGTTGATGCCAAAGAGCTCGATTTTGGTCTCATCTGACCACAACACTTTCACCCATTCAGATGTTCATTGGCAAACTTCAGACGACCCTGTATATGTGCTTTCTTGAGCAGGGGGACCTTGCGGGCGCTGCAGGATTTCAGTCCTTCACGGCGTAGTGTGTTACTAATTGTTTTCTTGGTGACTATGGTCCCAGCTGCCTTGAGCTCATTGACAAGATCCTCCCGTGTAGTTCTGGGCTGATTCCTCACCGTTCTCATGATCATTGCAACTCCACGAGGTGAGATCTTGCATGGAGCCCCAGGCTGAGGGAGATTGACAGTCCTTTTGTGTTTCTTTCATTTGCGAATAATCGCACCAACTGTTGTCACCTTTTCACCAAGCTGCTTGGCGATGGTCTTGTAGCCCATTCCAGTCTTCTGTAGGTCTACAATCTTGTCCTTGACATCCTTGGAGAGCTCTTTGGTCTTGGCCATGGTGGACAGTTTGTAATCTGATTGATTGATTGCTTCTGTGGACAGGTGTCTTTTATACAGGTAACAAGCTGAGATTAGCAGCACTCCCTTTAAGAGTGTGCTCCTAATCTCAGCTCATCACCTGTATAAAAGACACCTGGGAGCCAGAAATCTTTCTGATTGAGAGGGGGTCAAATACTTATTTCCCTCATTAAAATGCAAATCAATTTATAACATTTTTGACATGCGTTTTTCTGGATTTTGTTGTTGTTATTCTGTCTCTCACTGTTCAAATAAATGTACCATTAAAATTATAGACTGATCATGTCTTTGTCAGCGGGCAAATGTAAAAAATCAGCAGGGGATCAAATACTTTTTTCCCTCACTTTAGCTATTAAAAGTCTATTCAAATACCTTACGTATCTTCATTTCCATCATTAACAATTAATATGCGTAATAATGTTGGCAGTTCATGCAAAGGATTGTTACCTATAACCAGGATTGCCATTGATTTACATTACATTTTTGTCAAGCAAGTATTATTTTAGCAAACAATTATTGTGATTCATCCTATATTGTCCCTAACATCCTTACTCCCTTGCAACAGATGTGGGATACATACACACACACACTCCTACACACTCAACCCCTTTCCCCCACAATCAACCATAAGCTCAGATGCTCAACAGTTGTTACATCCCAGAGCCCAACTCAAGAAAGGACCTGATTTACAAATGCATATACAGTTACAGCTGTTTGAGAAAGCATGCAATGTGAGATTTGATTAACTAATGTCAAGTCCTAGGTGATGGAGATCAGATCCACCCCCTTCCCCTGAAATGCACACTCATACAGAAGGCAAAGAAATGCTAGGTCTACATATGGTTTTAAATTACATTAACATTATTTCAAATATGTATTTATTTTTATTTATACAGTAACATAGTAGTAACATACCAATTGTGTAATATTGTGAGAATGTTCAAGAACCTGACAATGACAAAGACGTTTTTGATTGATCAGTTTTATTCACTTAAGAAACCATTATGTCCCAGATTTATATGTAATAAAATTATATGTCTTTTCACTCAATAGGTACACTTTTAAGAATCTTAGTGGAAGAAAATGTAAAACCAATTAATCTACAGTCAGGAGATGTTTACTAATATGAATCATTCAGTTATGTTGTAAGTGAAACAGCAAAATAGGACTCACGGTAATAGCCTATTATTCAATTAAATTCCACATTTTTACTTAAATCTCATTGCATAATTTTTGTTTTCCAAACTGGGTAAATACAGTAGAATTTAGTATTTGACAGTGCAAAAATCCAAGCCATTTTATCAATGCAAGGCACGTGTGGAATGTTCACAATAATATCATATTTTATTCCCAATTTACAGTCTCAGGAGCTTGAGGCTTTGCTCACAAGCATATCTTTTTTTATTTGATCTTACACATCCAGTTTTTCATTCCATCCTCCTTCCATTCCTTCTTCTTCTTGCTTACCTTTACTTATATCTTTCTTCCTCCACTCCAATGCCAATCAACAAACACCTTTAGTCAGAACACCAGCTGTTGCTGTTTCTTGAGAGAGTATAGGCCAGTCTTCTTTCTACTCCTGAGAGCATAGTGAGTATGTAGGCCTAGGTGTTCTGAGTCAAATCCCAACGTATGCAACTCTGTACCTACAAATGCAACATGATCACATCAACTCACTGCAATTCTAGACGTTTGTCCAAATGGCCAGAAACCTCACCTTTCACCTCTGTGTGGCCTATGTGGCGGGTCAGGGTCATAACTGGGCGTGCTCGGAGCTCTGGTCGCTGTCGTGACTGTCCTCATTACCAGGGGAACTGGAGGAGTGGTGTAATCCTCCCACCATGCCACAGTACTCTGACGGCAACAGCGTTCCCTTCTTCACGTTGACAAGTTCTTTTTCCAGGGCCGCTGCCCCCTGCTGACCTCCTTTAACACGCTTCCACTTCATCCTCCTGTTCTGGAACCACACCTTCACCTGGAGGAGAGGAGAGCAATGAGTTTACAGGGAAATATTGTGGAAGTTATACGGCAGGGGGGTCCAACTCAATACCTGGTGGACCACAGAGACTGCTAATTTCAGCTCTTTCCTTTGTTGTCTGATTTAGACACTCCTAGGGAGGAATGAAAACATGCAGATGCTGCGGCTCCCAAGGACTGGAGTTTGACACTTGGATCGTTTGCAGGAAGGTGAGTGGATCATAGCCCTTCTCAATAACAAGGGCAATATTAGCCAAGGTTTTAGAAAATGTATTTTGTGTAATTATAACCACATTAAGAAAACATCAACAACTTTTAATTGCACAAAGTTTAACTGGAGTCTTCAGGCCTTGTTGTGAGCGAGTGGAAATGGGGTGTATATGGAGTGTGAGGGTCTGAGGTAACTCGATGCCATTGTGGATGCGTTGGTTGTGGGGTTCTGGAGACTGAGTTCTTGGCATGTAGACCCGTCTGTAAAACCTAGCATCCTCCCACCTCTTCCCCCCGTCCCTCCTCAGTAAAACCCTGACATCCCCCTGTGCGTCAGGAAACTCAATGTCCTGAATCTGTTCGTGTGAACCCTCCTTTTATCAGTGAATGTGACTGAGAGATTTACGGCCTCAGTGAAACAGACCTCTGCCAGCGCAGCAGAGCACATGCACACACACACACCACAGGAGTATGCAACCCAGCTCCCCCACCTCTCTTTTCACACACACACACACACACTCCTCCCGACACACCAGTTCCCCCCCACACACCCGCTCTAGCTCCCCCACCTTGCTCCCCCACCTCCCTCTTCACACGACATGATCTTATGTAAACCCCGAGCGACACCTCATCTACCAGAGCTGGCTGCCGATAGCCAAATCATTATCTAGAAGATCATTATTCGCAGTCGCATGCCAGTTGAGTCTGGGATCCCCTGCCGTCGTCGACGGGGTACTTTGGGTTATTTTGACCTCACTGTGTGCGGTGTAGGTAGCGCTCGGAGATACAGATCTTAATTTGATCACTCTTTTATTGCTGAGAATTTTCCCACACAGCAGGAAAAACTTGTAGTGTATTCAAGGTATAAAAAGGCTTCAACATTTTGTCATTTCAGACTTGATTTGCAGTAACAAAATTGTTATCAACCCCTACAAAAAAATTCCATTAATTAGAATCCACATAATAATTCACATTTCCTGTTGCTGCAGGATTATTGTCAAGCTGTAGCAAACTGGCTCAAATTAAGATCCTATATCTATAGTAAGCCCATGGTGTACTGTTAACAGTGTATGTATAACGCTGGGTGACAGTGAACTGAGCAGGCGACTGGCGGCCACGTTGGACTGTGGTTAGTGTTGGCTGTTGGGGCGTCTTATTTCGACATAGCCAGGTATGTGCTGATCCTGCCTCGGATCCTGTTCCTGACTCCACAGATCCTTCAGTATTTGCGGCTCCTCTTTGTGATGATTAAGCTGCTGCCTAAAACGGCCCGATCGGATCGGGACCGAGCGAAGCACCCCAACCCCCACCCCCCCCCCCCCCTTCTCCCATCCCCCATCACGCCCCCTACTGCCCTCATGTCATCCATCCCCCACCCCCCACTGACGCCCCTACACCCCCCCCCCCCCCCCCCCCCCCCCCCCTCTTATCCACCCTCCAAGCGACCTGCTTTCTCACAGGAACCCTATGCTCTCCTGTAGGATTTATTTTAGGCATTGTAGCCTGCCACTCACAGGCCGAAGACAGGAGTTAAGTTTACAGAGTAAACACACGCATGTGTGGCTCATTTTCTAATAAACAGGCTTATAAGCGTCAACCGCCTCGTTAAAGTCCTCTGTAAATTGTTGTTACACACACACACACAAAATCTTCTGCCACTGTACAGTCGTGGTCAAAAGTTTTGAGAATTACACAAATATTAATTTTCACAAAGTCTGCTGCCTCAGTTTTTATGATGGCAATTTGCATATACTCCAGAATGTTATGAAGAGTGATCAGATGAATTGCAATTAATTGCACAGTCCCTCTTTGCCATGAAAATTAACTTAATCCCAAAAAACTTTTCCACTGCATTTCAGCCCTGCCACAAAAGGACCAGCTGACATCATGTCAGTGATTCTCTCGTTAACACAGGTGAGAGTGTTGACGAGGACAAGGCTGGAGATCACTCTGTCATGCTGATTGAGTTAGGATAACAGACTGGAAGCTTTAAAAGGAGGGTGGTGCTTGAAATCATTGTTCTTCCTCTGTTAACCATGGTTACCTGCAAGGAAACACGTGCCGTCATCATTGCTTTGCACAAAAAGGGCTTCACAGGCAAGGATATTGCTGCTAGTAAGATGCACCTAAATCAACCATTTATCGGATCATCAAGAACTTCAAGGAGAGGTTAAATTGTTGTGAAGAAGGCTTCAGGGTGCCCAAGAAAGTCCAGCAAGCGCCAGGACCGGGGCACCACCAGTGCAGAGCTTGCTCAGGAATGGCAGCAGGCAGGTGTGAGTGCATCTGCACGCACAGTGAGACAAAGACTTTTGGAGGATGGCCTGGTGTCAAGAAGGGCAGCGAGGAAGCCACTTCTCTCCAGGAAAAACATCAGGGACAGACTGATATTCTGCAAAAGGTACAGGGATTGGACTGCTGAGGACTGGGGTAAAGTCATTTTCTCTGATGAATCCCCTTTCCGATTGTTTGGGGCATCCGGAAAAAAGCTTGTCTGGAGAAGACAAGGTGAGCGCTACCATCAGTCCTGTGTCATGCTAACAGTAATGCATCCTGAGACTATTCATGTGTGGGGTTGCTTCTCAGCCAAGGGAGTGGGCTCACCCACAATTTTGCCTAAGAACACAGCCATGAATAAAGAATGGTCCCAACACGTCCTCCGAGAGCAACTTCTCCCAACCATCCAAGAACAGTTTGGTGACGAACAATGCCGTTTCCAGCATGATGGAGCACCTTGCCATAAGGCAAAAGTGATAACTAAGTGGCTCGGGAAACAAAACATCAACATTTTGGGTCCATGGCCAGGAAACTCCCCAGGCCTTAATCCCATTGAGAACTTGTGGTCAATCCTCAAGAGGCGGGTGGACAAACAAAAACCCACAAATTCTGACAAACTCCAAGCATTGATTATGCAAGAATGGGCTGCCATCAGTCAGGATGTGGCCCAGAAGTTAATTGACAGCATGCCAGGGCGGATTGCAGAGGTCTTGAAAAAGAAGGGTTAACACCGCAAATATTGACTCTTTGCATAAACTTAATGTAATTGTCAATAAAAGCCTTTGACCCTTATGGAATGCTTGTAATTATACTTCAGTATACCATAGTAACATCTGACAAAAATGTCTAAAAACACTGAAGCAGCAGACGTTGTGAAGACCAATACTTGTGTCATTCTCAAAACTTTTGACCACGACTGAATATGCCCTTGGGTGTAGTCCTAATTGTGCAATCAGTAATTTGTAAGTTGTTACCTGAGACGGTTGTTACACACACATACACCCAACCACACACCCACACATTCACAGGGTTCAGTTGCGAGACAAGACCTCCAGGGGTATGAGGGCTGAGGCCCGATTGTACACTCATTGTTAGTAAAGCTATACAGTAGTTAATAGCAGGATCAGGGAGGTAGAAGCTGCACTGTAAGATAATAGTCAGAAGGATGTTAGACTGGGTTTAACAGCCAGGGTCAACCCTCACACACACACACATACACACGTACACACACACACGCATACACACACTTACAAACAGGATTAACCCCCACACACGTCCAGATTTATAGGCCCTGTATTGGGAATGTGTGGAGAAGAGAGGAGAGGAGAGGCAGCCAATATGAGTAGGAGTGGGGAGGGTTGGTGTGGGATGGGGCTCCTAGCAGGAAGGGCCTAACTCCTGGGTGGGTTGTTGCCTGGATGCCTGGGCCTGGCCTGGCTGCAGCCAAGACACTCTGGTTGGACTTATACAACAGATGATGAGTTCCAAAAGCACTTATGGGTGTGCTGAGTGTGTAGGTTAATTTGGTTGAACGCATCGCCACAAATAGTTTTATGCAGGCAAGCTTTTTAGATCAAGGCAGATTAGGTGTAAATTAATCATTAAAAAAAGGTGTTTTGATTAAAAGTTTCCCTCTTTTCATCTAAAATATAGCATAGAATAAGCAGCTTTTACACTGCCATACATTAAGGGCAGATTAAGCCTTTATACTCCAAGACTTCTAGAACACTTTGAATGGATTTTCTCCATTGAGCATACTGTACGGGAATCTGTCTTTGAAAGTCCAGTGTATTTCCTATTGGTGTCTGAAGGGAATTAGAGAAACATCTGGTCTCTGACACATGCCATCAGACAGTCCCTGCACACCCACAGACAGACAGACCAGCAGTGCAGGCAACACACTCACACAGCCAGACCAGGGGCACTGGCAACACAAACACACACACACACACACACGCTGCACAGATACTGTACATCAAACGGTTAGGAAGCGATTACATTCAGAGCATTAGCATGACATGTCCAAGCGTTTGCTAATGTCAAAACATACAGGGTTTTTCATCCTGAGGCCTGTGTAGTTTTTAATAGAATCCATATCAACTGCTGTTAGCTGCCATTTCAGTGTAAGCTTCACTGTGAGTCTTTGAATACATGTGTCTGTTGAATACAATTGTCTGAGTTATTAGGGTAATTACAGTATTAATCCTTTAACTGTGATTCCTTTGGATATTGTGTTCACACATGATCTGCCAATTTTCTGATTTATTTGAACATCAAAGGGATAAATTAACTGCATCATGTTTTGCTATTAGATGACAAGCCAATATTATGACTAATTAACTTGTTTTTTTAGCAAGACAACAGGTAAGAATTTTTTTCACTTTTCACATGCAATTTCTATTGCATTTTTTCATATGCAATGTTTATTGCTTTTATTGTTTCCACATAACAACAGGTAACGTACTTGTCTTTCTGTGAGGTCGAGGTTGACTGCAATCTCGTATCGCCTCAGTCTCGTCAGGTAGTTGTGGTGCGCAAACTCTGACTCCAGTTCCCGGATCTGTTCCTTGGTGAACGCTGTCCTCTCCTTCCTGGGCTTGCTGTTCACGTCAGACTTATAGCTCCCGTCCTGGGAATCTAAAATGAAAAACAGAACTTTTTCCAGATACAGTTGAGTCGCCAAAAAAGAAAGGAGAGGAAAATGGGTGAAAAAAAAGAAGGGATTGTGTGATAAACTGCAGGGCTGAAACACAAACTAAGAGCTAAACAATTAGCGCTGCCAATCACCTTTTCTTATGGGGATATTGGTCATGCACACTATCATGTCTTACTGGGGGAGGGGCTGCATGAGAGGAGCCAAGCAGGGAGTACTGTCCCAGAGCCCAGCTCCCTCAGAGAACTTCCCTATGTTCATTCTCCAAAACAGACTCACTCACTCATCTTCACTCGCTCCTTAGAGCATAGAAAGAAACAGACTGATATCTCTCAAATACCACTAAGTTGTAACACCTTCTTACTGTATGTGAACATTTCACAAATCAATTTACTATAGCCTAATTTCTTTGAAACCTAGGAGACACAAAGAATATGTCCTATAACAATAATTTGTAGTTGGTGGAATTGTCTCGGCCTCTCTCCAATACTTTATCACCTCTTTTAAATAGAAGTTTCATCCAAAGGGAGGGGTAATATTTGAGGCTAGCCAACTCAACACTGTAGCTCTATTGTTCAAAGACAAAAGTGATTCCAAGAGCTCATCTCTGGTGGAACTGAGGGTAGGTGAAGCTGAGGTCCGTCAGGTGTGGGGAAATGTGAAGGGGTAATGTATGTGGTAATGTCTGAGGTAGTAATGCATGTGATAATGTGTAACTAAAGCCCCTTGAAACTAAGGGGGAAATAGCCCCCCTCAGTTGTCCGCTGACAATATAGAAGATATGATTTATTTTATGCTAAATTAATGTGCTATCGAAATTGGCCATCCTATCACTGACCCCAAAGATTAGGTTCACGCTGCCTCTGCTATGTGGGGTGTGTGATGGCGTGGTAATGTGATGTGATAATGTGGGACAGTAGGGTGTGGACCTCCCAGCTATCACCTGGTAGGCTGAACAATAGACCAGTAGATACACAGATCGGCTGAGCACCAACCACGGGCCTAGACATAACATGGAGCATGGTCTGAAAACTTACACCAGACCACTCTACATGGCTAAAGATGACAGGGGTAAGAGTTTGATGTGTGTGATTTGTTGTGTATTTGATTGAAGTTAAGTAAACTTTAGAAATACTTTCCAGATTGTAATTCCTTTTGATCCAATTGTCTGTATTTAATCCAGATTGTAATTCCTTTTGATCCAATTGTCTGAATTTAATCCAGATTGCGCAAATGGATTCTGAAAAGGGTACATTAATGAAATCCTTTAAAATATTTGTTCCCTTTTAGATGTGGCTTCAAATTGGGTGAATATCAATAGATTTCTCTAAACATCACACTTCAGGGCGTCAAATGCGTTGTGTTGTAATTTACGTGCTGTTCTTTAGTCAGCGCAACACAAAACCAGCTGACATTCTCTTAGTTCAACTGTAAATGTTGGAAGTGCTGACCAAATAGTGCCAGGAAAGAGTCTGTCTCTCTGCCACATCACACAGGCACAGCACAGCTCGTCCCCTCGATTCATGGCACCTCCACTTATAAAAACAGAATATGGGACAAAGAAGTTTCTGGAAATAAGTTCTTCAAACAAATTGTCTTTCACACAGTTTGGGGATTATATTTAATTTGAAACAATTGTTTAATGGTTTATACCATACAATATATTGCAATACTCCTTCAATATTCCTCCAAACTTAATTTACAATACATTTTAAACTTTTGTTTTGCATTCTTTGTTATTTATCAAGGTGAATTTTAACTATTATTATATTATGTTGCCACAGCATTGTTATACCGTTACCTCATCAGAAATAGGAACATACAGTACCAGTCAAAAGTTTGGACACACCTACTCATTCAAGAGTTTTTCTTTATTTTTACTATTTTCTATATTGTAGAATAATCAAATCTATGAAATAACACAAATGGAATCATGAAAAACCAAAAAAAGCGTTAAACAAATCAAAATATATTTTATATTTGAGATTCTTCAAATAGCCACCCTTTGCCTTGATGACAGCTTGCACACTCTTGGCATTCTCTCAACCAGCTTCACCTGGAATGCTTTTCCAACAGTCTTGAAGGAGTTCCCACATATGCTGAGCACTTGTTGAACAATAGACTTCCTGCCATCCAGGACCTCTATACCAGGCGGTATAGGAGGAAGGCCCTCAAAATTGTCAAAGACTCCAGCCACGCTAGTCATAGACTGTTCTCTCTGCTACCGCACGGCAAGCGGTACCGGAGTGCCAAGTCTAGGTCCAAAAGACTTCTCAACAGCTTCTACCTCCAAGCCATAAGAGTCCTGAACAGCTAATCATGGCTACCCAGACTATTTGCACTGCCCCCCCACTCCCACCCCCCACCCCATCTTTTTACGCTTCTGCTACTCTGTTAATTATTTATGCATAGTCACTTTAACTCTACCCACATGTACATATTACTTCAACTACCTCAAGTAGCCGGTGCCCCCGCACATTGACTCTGCACCGGTACCCCCCTGTATATATAGCCTCCCTACTGTTATTTTATTTTACTTCTGCTCTTTTTTTTTTTACACTTTTTGGTTGTTGTTTTATTTTACTTTTTTATTAAAAAGAAATGCACTGTTGGTTAAGGGCTGTAAGTAAGCATTTCACTGTAATGTCTGCACCTGTTGTATTCGGTGCATGTGGCCAATAAAATTTGATTTGATTTGATTTGTTGGCTGCTTTTCCTTCACTCTGCGGTCCGACTCATCCCAAACCATCTAAATTGGGTTGAGGTCGGGGGATTGTGGAGGCCAGGTCATCTGATGTAGCACTCCATTACTCTCCTTCTTGGTAAAATAGCCCTTACACAGCCCGGAGGTGTGTTGGGTCATTGTCCTGTTGAAAAACAAATGATAGTCCCAGTAAGCCCAAACCAGATGGGATGGCGTATCGCTGCAGAATGCTGTGGTAGCCATGCTGGTTAAGAGTGCCTTGAATTCTAAATAAATCACAGACAGTGTCACCAGCAAAGCACCCCCACACCATAACACCTCCTCCTCCATGCTTTATGGTGGGAACTATACATGCGGAGATCATCCGTTCACCCATACTGCGTCTCACAAAGACACGGCGGTTGGAGCCAAAAATCTCAAATTTGGACCAGACCAAAGGACACATTTCCACCGGTCTAATGTCCATTGCTCGGGTTTTTTGGCCCAAGCAGATCTCTTCTTATTATTGGTGTCCTTTAGTAGTGGTTTCTATGCAGCAATTCGACCATGATGGCCTGATTCACACAGACCCCTCTGAGCAGTTTATGTTGAGATATGTCTGTGACTTGAACTCTGTGAAGCATTTATTTGGGCTGCAATTTCTGAGGCTGGTAACTGTAACTAACTTATCCTCTGCAGCAGAGGTAACTCTGGGTCTTCCATTCCTGTGGTGGTCCTCATGAGAGCCAGTTTCATCATAGCGCTTGATGGTTTTTGAGACTGCACTTGAAGATACTTTCAAAGTTCTTGAAATGTTCCGCATTGACTGACCTTCATGTCTTAAAGTAATGATGGACTGTCGTTTCTCTTTGCTTATTTGAGGGCTATCTTCTGTATACCCCCCTCCCTTGTCACAACACAACTGATTGGCTCAAACACATTAAGAAGGAAAGAAATTCCACATATTAACTTTTAACAAGACACACCTGTTAATTGAAATGCATTCCAGGTGACAACCTCATGATGCTGGTTGAGAGAATGCCAAGAGTGTACAAAGCTGTCGTCAAGGCAAAGGGTGGCTATTTGAAGAATCTCAAATATAAAATATATTTTGATTTGTTTAACACTTTTTTGGTTACTACATGATTCCATATGTGTTATTTCATAGTTTTGATGTCTTCACTATTATTCTACAATGTAAAAATTTTTAAAAATAAAGAACAACCCTTGAATGAGTAGGTGTGTCCAAACTTTTGACTGGTAGTGTAAATAAAGATCACGTTGCCTTGTGATTTGTGTTAGAGGTGTTCTACATGTCCATGGCAGCTCCTGGGTTATGCTTCAGACTTCTACTACCTGTCAATCAGAATTGCAGCCTGGTGTAAAACTGACCTGAGAGATGGAAAGTGAAGGAGGAAAATTAACTACTGGGCACAACAGTCCCCTGTAGCTCAGTTGGTAGAGCATGGCGCTTGCAACGCTAGGGTTGTGGGTTTGTTTCCCACGGGGGGGCAGTATGAAAATGAATGCACTCACTAAACTGTAAGTCGCTCTGGATAAGAGCGTCTGCTAAATGACTAAAATGTATATGTAAACAGCACTTGTGCCTGCTGGGAGAACGATACACGAATGCAAATCAAATTTGCCTATCCTATCAGTGCCCCAATAAAATGTGTCGGAGCACGACGCCACTGGAAGCTGGTGACAGTGAAATGGCTTCTGGATATGGAGAGCAGTCCTCTTGTCGTGACCCTACACTGATGTCCTGAATCAGCCCTTGTGTTTGCATACATGTAGCCGCCAGGAAGTCCAGCCACTGGGCTAGTAACTTATTAAGGACCTGATGTGTCTAGTCCCCAGCTCTTATATGGATGGAGCTTGCATTATTATGGTGTCTGCTGATAATGATGGCTACAGCCATATACAGCCATATTAGGTCTGGTGCGGTGCCCTGCATGACGAGTCCAACGCATTTAGCCATCGGCCATTTTGAGACTCCACCCGGGGTACAGATCAGTTTGTCCCTTACAACCTCAGCGTTCTCAAAGGCAACACAGTCGTTGGGTGGACAGTGTGTAAAATTATATCACTGACTTATGTACACACTTACACGTGCCACTGACTGTGCTCATCTCAAAATAGATGTTTAACAAATGGGGAAATTGGACCTAACTATACACCTTTTTTTATTATGTAACTCTTCACTACACAAAAATAAGAATTTCTGTCTCTAATGGGCAATAAAGTTATATTCTATTCCATTCCATTCCATTCCGTTCCATTCCATTCTATCATCCATATTGCGGCTGACCAACAGTGATATCCAGAAGTAGTATGGATGAATTCTCCATCCCCATTATTATTATTAAAAGCCTGCTTTTGCACACAGCTGTTGTGGCTAATGCTGTAGGTACATATGTTCTACAGCCATAAATACTATATAGGTTTAAGCCTATCAAAAAGCCCAGGTGTGGTCGTTGTAACAGTTTCAAAGGCAGCTTCACAGAAATCACACCTGTAGGCCATTAATACCCTGGAGAAAAATGTCACTGTTGATTATCCCTGGGAGCCTGAAGAGAGAGACAAAGAAAAGCTGTACCAGGCTATAACTATACAATTGGTTTGAGGGGGTTGAGATTGAAGAATGTTAAACAGGAAACAGGTCAATAGTCTAATGAGAATGGTAGATTGAGGTAGAAAGTGAGACAATCTATCTATGTAAATATTCCAAATGACAGAGGTAAATCAACTCCCTGATTACAGTATCACTGAGAGAGTATCTTAATATGTGTTGTTGAGACAAATGGAGATGGAAAGGCGATGGATCTAATGCATCACATAACAGAAGATGAATGCAAATCTGTAATGTATCTCACTTGCTCATGTCTTTATATAAGATTGTCAACAGAATAGTATGACTATTGACCTTAGCATTTCTAGAGATAATTTAACCTTTTTTACTCCAATGGTTTGATTGAATTTTGATTATTATTTTGCTTCCAAAGTAGATTAATAGATTAATTCATTTAATATCTGTTGTTTTACTGAAAAGGAAACTAAATGATGGTGTGAGAATAATTGTATTAATTGCATTTAAGTGAAATTAAGTACATGATCATATTTTAAGTTTACGGCCTTGCTGCCCAGTGTTTCACACAATAAGACGTTGTTTCTAAGAAGAGCTTGACTGCATTTATTTTAAATATTAATTAGAAAATAAAGTTAGCCTAATTCTACCTCGTTAAATTGTAAACATAAATTCCAGATATGAATGAATGTCAATACAGTATGAAAAACAGTACAGATAAACTAATATGAAACAATCAATGTATCAAGATAATTTAAGATCTTTAAAGAACCTATAACATAAGGTCTTATAATACTGAAATGTCTTCCCAGTATGTTAGTACAGTTAAATGTTAAATTACAGCTAACTTTTGTGCAGTAGCTAGTAATTGAAATTAATAAATTACATTTGCAAGTAGACAATTAAGAAAACTTTGAACTATGAGCATCGAGCAGTTGGTAATCAAATAAGACATCAGTTTGAATCAGTTTGAATCATCAGAACTAAGTCTGTTTCAAATAAACTTGAAGTTGAATGTTTATACCACAAAAGTAATGACATATAGCCCTCAATATTATCTGGGCAACTACTGTAAAAACAAGGCCCAAATGCTGAAATAATAAGCCTACTAGTAAGTGAGGTTAAAATTAAGAATTTACTTTCAAACTAAATAGTATGCGCTGAACTCTTTTGTCATTGCATAACTTCTCATGAGGTTCTCAAATTTAGGACCATTGACGCAGAAGACTACAGCGCGTTCAGTAATCATGAAAACATTAGCCTATTAATAAAAATGCAACAAATAGATGTTTTATTACTGTATCACAAACTGTTCTCCGTTGTTTCAACATCTGTGGACTTTGTCTGCTTACACAGAGATGCTGAGATCCCAATATGAGAATGGACAAACCAAACCCTTCAAATCATTATACTCCCTTACTATGGGATGAAAACTCCTCAGTGAGTTTTGAAAGAAACCACCAAGACTTTGAGACTAAACTCAAAGCTAAGAGAAGAGAAGAGGAGATGTCCTCATTGTCCTCATCTTACCTGAGCTGTGCAAATCATCTTTCCCTTTACTGTTCCGTCTCTGTTCTGTCTCGTCCGGGGACATCGTCTGTCGTCCAAAGTCCCCAGGGACACAGGAAACACCTGTGGGGACACTACTACCTCCCAGACCAGGGTTGGTGTTGGAGCCACACAGATTTTGGGACCCCCCACAACACAGTTCCGAGACTTGGCTGTCCGGAGGAGGCAGGCAGAGGCCATGCCTGGTGTTGGGTGAGGGAATCTGGGGGAGATGCCAGGGGATCTGGTGGGTCTGGTGCTGTGGGTGGTGGGGGTGGGGGTGCTGCTGGTGCTGATGGAGGTGTCCTCCACGATGGTGGTGTTGCTGCCCTCCGTACGCCTCCTCCTCCCCGGGTCCAGGGTACCCCCCACAGGGGGGAGAGGAGCCGGGTAGGTTGGGGTAGGAGATGTGGTCGGAGCGCCCGTGCAGCACCATCGGGGACTGGGTAAAGGCAGGGTGGGGGTGCAGGCCCTGGGCCGGGGCGTGGGGGCTACGGAGGCACCCAAACAGGGAGTGATCCATCACGGTGCTCCACGAGATCCACCTGAAAGACGAACCCCCCTAAGTCCGCCACACACACAACCACCAAAAGGCGGGCGGACGAGTAGCCTCAAATCAGGGCTCTCCTCCACGGCTCTCTCACCTAGCACCTCTGTGCGCCCCACATTAGTTGCAGGGAGAGCGATCGGAGGAGACTGAAGGAAGACAGAGCTCGCAACGTTGAAAGGTAGAGCCTCCGGTAATCCTGAGCATGCAGCCTGTTGCCAGGCGCAGTGCGGGTAAACACTGACTCTGCTGAGATGGTAGACGGAGAGGAAAGACGGAGGAGAGGAGAGGCGGCTGAGGCCAGAGTGGTTCCAGGGAGAAGGTGGTTCCAGGGAAGTTGGGAGAGAGAGAGAGAGAGAGAGAGATGAAGGGAGGGAGGGTGGGTTGGTGTTAGGAGGCCAAGGAGGGGGGATGTTATATATAGGACGTAACGTGAGAGGGAGGCCGGGTCACTGGTGCGCTGGATCACTGCTAGGCTACTGACCACATGTATACGATCTTCCTCCAAAACGCAACGCACAATAAATCTGAACCATTCCAATGGCCTGGCCTCAGGAAAAGTGGGAAATGTATTTTGGACCCACCCGACCCCCGTCGATACACTTTCTTAGAAGTGCAGTATTGCGTCAGACTTCAGGGGGTTGGATATGGGGGTTTGGGGGTTCAACACCCCAACATTATCTGCTGTTTGTGTGTTTACTGCAAATAGAGGCTGATGCGTTGCATTTCAAATCAAATCAAATGAATAGTGTGTAGGTGGTTTGAAAATATGTTTACTGTATGTGGCCCAATATTTGACTGATTTATATAAACTTTTTTAGCGCAATCTACAAATCTGTCTGTTAACATTACCCCCCACCCCCCCACTACCCTCCCCCTCACACACACACACTCCTAAGCATTTAAGCACTAGTAGTTTTCAACATCAATTTGTCATTCTTTAAATTTATTTTAATGTTTCCAGTCTTAATTAAGTTCTATCCCTTTTTGTGTTTTTTTTACTGTCAAAGTAGCACTTTGATCTAAGTGTTTTCTGGCAATAGAAAAAGCCTAACTTTCACATAACTTCATTGCAATGCAATACAGTAAAAAAAAACGAATTATGGAAAATTATAGGGGTGTTTTTGAAACGCAATAGAGTGAGAAAAACTAATTTAGCACAATGAAATGAGTGTTATTATTTGTCAAAGTGATTCATTTGGCGGTTGTTTTTACCAGCTTTTCATGTACAATTATATACGAAAACAATGACCACAAGGGAAAATGCCTTTGGTATCAAGTGAAAATATCCATATATTCCCAAGGCGGTGGCTTTGTAGTGGTGGGAATATAACAGAGGAGATGTGTGAAGAAAACGTCAAGAACAAGGAGATCAAAAGTTTCCATGTTAAAATGTAAATAAGAGACTTTGATACCAGTGTCTTGTCATAACTAATATATATATATATATATTATATTTCAGTACCATATGTACAGTACATTATGTGGTTCTTATAAATGTTATATATTTTTTTATGTTATATTTTTTAAATGTTATATATTTTAAAATGTTATATATTTTTCAATGTTATATATTTTTTAATGTTATATTTATTTTAATGTTATATATTTTTTTATGTTATATATTTTTAAATTTTAGATATTTCAGTGCCCAGTTCTCAGTATTATGCTATTCATAATTTCAAGCAGATTTCTATTTCATTCTCATCATTTCATCAAATTAATTTCTACATAATGAATACTATAACAAAACTAGTACTTTATATATGAGAAATAAATGCATTCAAAATGGTGGTTACTTGGTGATAGTCTTTGTTTTGGGGACTGATTCTGTCTATGATAAAATTCCTTCCAGACTACACTATTTAATTCCCTACCATAATTCACAAATCTCACTCATAACAAAAACTTTTGCATCTTCTAACTGAGTTATAAATATGTGGATTTGTCTGGTAACTTTTAAAAGCATCTGTTGATCTATATCTGCTCCCTGGCTGTTTTAAACCTATAGGCGGCTGCAGTGCAAGACAAACCACACACATGAAGCTGGGTGTTGGGAGAGGAAATTAGATTCATTTTGAAGGAAATTGTTTTAGCAGACGGAGAGGGAATGAGAGCCGTCCCGCCGTGCGGTGTTAGAGTACAGTTTTCTCAGAGCTGTAGCCATATACAAAGATTCTTAGGCTGCACCAGCAAATCCGGTGGTCCTGAAGCTATGGGTCCTGGAGAAAAACACTGTGTTTACAAATTAGGCCAATTAGTAACTGTGTAAAGTCATCCGTGGGTTTAAGCCCTCTTTGAGTATTTATGCTCATATGGTTTCGTTTTGATCTGTGGTATGGAGGCCGGCTGTAGCATGGAGGTAGGTGCCCCCAGGAGTAGATGTTGCTCCCCAGCTCAGCCCGGGACTCCCTTGCAGACCCTCTCACACCACAAAGGAGACCCCTAACCCTCCGTAACTAACACCCGGTCGGATTTTCAACAGGTGAGTCCTTTCACTTTTTTCACACTGCGGGCCGTGGCAGGTGTGTGTCAATGTGTGTGTGAGGGGTTGAGGTGGTGTGTGTATCTGCATGTGTGTTCCTGTGTGTGTTTATATAGCCTCTATAGTGAATATGATGTTAGACATTTAACTGCAGCTGTTGGTTCACCCTGCAACCTGGCTTTGTCAATCAGTCTGGGTTTACAGTGTGAGAAGGATAGCCTGTGCATAACCTATAGACCTCACATTCCGCTAGCATACGATGCATTAGAAACAGTAGCCCCTCACTAACCTCAATAGTTTAGTTTTGTTGTGATGTACAATTCAAATATAAATATGAATCAAAATTGCGCTTGTGAGTTGTTGTATCATCCTCAGATTTTACAGTCTTAAATTTCTCATGTTAAAATAAAGTTAAACTGAAGTAAAACATCAATAATGTGTATAGGCTACAGTTATACAATTTTCTTGTGGCCTGTTAGGTTTCTGTCTTTTATACTGGGATTTCTCTGAACTTCAATTTCAATGCAGTTTGAAGTCATAAAATGGCTACATATTAAACGTCAACTTTCCAAACGAAGAACAGTAATGAAAGCCTAACTTTGGTCTGTCCTATTACTTTATAGTGGTGCTTTTAGTGTTGAGCCTCAAAGAGAGTTTCACTGGATCATTTCTCACTGAATTAGAAACTAACTCTGTTGCTTTGTGATAAAAGAAACGGAGTATGCGTGTTTGTTTGTGTGTGTGTGTGTGTGTGTGTGTGTGTGTGTGTGTGTGTGTGTGTGTGTGTGTGTGCAGGCGCGTGTGTGTGATTAACTGTAAATCCCTCCGTCAGCCAGCGTATCAGATAGACTCAACAGGCGTTGCGTCTTCCTTCTGTAGATGCCAGCTACTGCTTCACAGAGATAAAACTATTTCAAAGCATGTAAAGACATTTCAGACTCTTTCTACAACAACGTAATAATTCATAGTTGTCATGGTAGAATCAATGAATCATAACACAGGGATAATGTCATTTCAAAAAATGTAAAAGCAATTCAGATGTTTTTTATATATACAACATACAATTTCAGTTACAATGCATTCGTAAAGTATTCAGACCCCTTGACTTTTTTCCCCCTCATCAATCTACACACAATACCCGATAATGACAAAGCAAAAACAGGTTTTTAGAAATATTAGCACATTTATTACAAATAAAAAACTGCAATATCACATTTACATAAGTATTCAGACCCTTTACTCAGTACTATGTTGAAGCACCTTTGGCAGCGATTACAGCCTCGAGTCTTCTTGGGTATGACGCTACAAGCTTGGCACACCTGTATTTGGGGAGTTTCTCCCATTCTTCTCTGCAGATCCTCTCAAGCTCTGTCAGGTTGGATAGGGAGCGTCACTGCACAGCCATTTTCAGGTCTCTCCAGAGATGTTCGATCGGGTTCAAGTCCGGGCTCTGGCTGGGCCACTCAAGGACATTCAGAGACTTGTCCCAAAGCCACTCCTGTGTTGTCTTGGCTGTGTGCTTAGGGTCTTTGTCCTGTTGGAAGGTGAACCATCACCCCAGTCTGAGGTCCTGAGCGCTCTGGAGCAGGTTTTCATCAAGGATCTCTCTGTACTTTGCTCCCATCATCTTTCCCTCGATCCTGACTAGTCTCCTAGTCCCTGTCGCTGAAAAACATCCCCACAGCATGATGCTGCCACCACCATGCTTCACCGTTGAGATGGTGCCAGGTTTCCCCCAGACGTGACGCTTGGAGAATCTTGTTTCTCATGGTCTGAGAGTCCATTAGGTGCCTTTTGACAAACTCCAAGCGGGCTGTCATGTCCCTTTTACTGAGGAGTGGCTTCCGTCTGGCCACTCTACCATAAAGACCTGATTGGTGGAGCACTGCAGAGATGGTTGTCCTTCTGGAAGGTTCTCCAATCTCCACAGAATAACTCTGGAGCTCTGTCAGAGTGACCACCAAGGCCCTTCTCCCCCGATTGCTCAGTTTGGCCAGGCGGCCAGCTCTAGGAAGAGTCTTGGTGGTTCCAAACTTCTTCCATTTAGGAATGATGGAGGCCACTGTGTTTTTGGAGACCTTCAATGCTGCAGACATTTTTTGGTACCCTTCCCCAGATCTGTGCCTCGACACAATCTTGTCTCGGAGCTCTACGGACAATTCCTTCGACCTCATGGCTTGGTTTTTGCTCTGTCAACTGTGTTTACCACAGGTGGACTCCAATCACGTTGTAGAAACATCTCAAGGATGATCAATGGAAACAGGATGCACCTGAGCTCAATTTCAAGTCGCATAGCAAAGGGTCTGAATACTTATCTAAATAAGGTATTTCAGTTTTTTAATTTTAATAAATATGTAAACATTTCTAAAAACATGTTTTTGCTTTGTCATTATGGGGTATTGTGTGTAGATTGATGAGGGGAAAAATAATTTCATAAATTTTAGAATAAGGCTGTAACGTAACAAAATGTGGAAAAAGGGAAGGGGTCTGA